AATCTAGGTGAGGGGTGACAGAAGGGTCATGGGAACACTCACTGCGGGAGGAGATCTGACAGGACACAGGGGCAGACACTCCTAAATGCCAGCGAAAAGGAGGACATAAGGGCTAGTCCTCTCAAGCTGCAAAGGTTCAACTCTGCCCAGGAAAAAAAGCATGGCCTCAAACAGGACGGCCACAGAACACTTGACCAATTTCAGTATTTCTAAAAGGATGGGCAAAGAAAACCATGGTTTATGATTTTATTTCTGAATTTTAATGTTTGTACTTTGGTTTCAAGACCCTCAAGAAACAAGCAGTTTTAATTCCTTTAATTATTTTGAGGGGACTCTAGAGAAACACACACATACAGAGTTTTATTTTTGTCCAACTTCTTTAAGGCAAGAAATCTCTAAAAAGCATACTAATTAAAAGAGAAAAGATGTAGCTTGGCTGCTTTCTCCTAATACTTAAGAGAGCAGGTTCTCATATCTTTGAAAACAATGAATTAAAATAGGTATAGAAAAGCAAAAGAGACCTGGAACTGCAATTCTTCCCCTCGAGCAAAAATGACAGCTTGAAATGCCAAGTCAGGCCAAGTAAACTAATTCCTCTTTCACTTGGCAATTTCCGCTACCCCCATTAGAAACTCTTGGTCCCTCCTTTGTTGAATGGCTCTTATACAAAGAAAATCTGCAATGACATCCCACTTGTGTGAAGAAATGAGAGAGCAGTTGCTCTGGCTTTGGATAAAATACCCCTCACTTGAGCCAGCTGGAGGAGTCTAATTAGCAAGCACACTATTACCATTCAGTTTTGCTGGAGTTTCCAGTCTCCTTTTGAACAATGAGAAAAAGGTTCCAAGCTCACACTAAATCTCTTTGATATCCACAGGGAAAAGAAATTTAACAACCAAAAACTTCAATGACTTAATGACTTAACCCATCAAAATCAGAGTAATGAACAGCTGGCATGTGGGCAGCATGGCCAACAGAGCTTGTTTGTCAGACCATCAAGTGCTGGGGTAGGAAAGAGGATGAGGGGTCTGCAGAGAGAGAGCTGCAAAGACCAAGGAACTACCTGGTTGTGGACCCAAGCAACAGCTGCCTGACGTAACTGTCATCACCCCAACAATGGCCTCCTACCCACAAACCTAGTCTAAGGTACTGAAGAAGAAAAGCAACCTGAAAAAAAGAGGAGAGAGCACCAGATTCAAAAGAAAGGAATCTAAAAGGTGCTGGGTGCCTTATTGTCTCAGATTACAACATTTCTTCCCACTAAAAGAAAAACATCAGGGTGTGTAGGACCCACAATTGTGAAATGCTCTACAACTCTTAGAAGTGTGGGGGTCTTGCAACAGACATATAAGTTTACCCAAGTGAGGAATTATCACAATCGAATCAAGAATGTTTCCTGGCTTTTACATTTTTCCTTCTCTCAAGCAGTTGAGTTGGCACATCCTCTGTGCCTGGCACCCAGTGAGGTGCCAGGAATACTGACATCCACCTATCAGTTTCTTCCCTGTAGGAGCTAGGGGGTGGCACAGACAAGGAAATAGTTTTAAATAGCACAATATAGCTCAGACTATGAAGAAAGCACTCACAGGCTACTGCAGGAGCTCACCAAATGCCCAGTTAACCTAACCTGAGGAGTCAAGGAAACCTTCAAGGTGGAATTAATAGCAGAAATGAGCCTTGAAGACAGAAGAAATTGGCTGTGTGAAAGATGGAAGAGGAAATCCAAGCAGATGCAAAGATAGGAACTGCAAGTGATTCAGAATGGCTGAAGCACAGGGGTGCAAAAAGAGGAGAAAACGTAGGCTGGCAAGGAAGGCAGAAGCTGGATTATGAAGGGCCTTCGATTCCATGCTAAGGTATTTGGAATTTAAGTCTAAGGCAACTGGGCAATCATTAAAAAAGTTTAAGTAAGCAAGTGACATAATCAGATCTGATTTATAGAAAGTCCCTTTACCTAGCAGCAGCAAGAACATAGGATTAGAAAGGGATAAGGTCAAAGGGAGAGAGACTAGTCTAGGGACTGCTGCAGTAATCTAAGTGAGAAATGATGAGTCTGAACTAAGGTGGCAGCAATGAGAACAGGAAAGAGTTAGTCAAATTCAAGGGATATTTAAGAGGCAAAATTCAGTGCACCTTGGATTACCTGGATGCAATGGACGTGCCAGTATATGTTTAACAGCTGCCCTTTAAAAAAAAAAAAAAGTATGCCCTTATTTGTAGCATTTGCCAATTTCCATGGCATAAATACTCCCACCATGGCTATTTCAAGCTACCAACATGATGTCACTGAACATGGAGCTGGGCAGAAATATGTACAATCAGCTCTCTCAAGTCACTGTAAAGTCAGCTCCAGCACTTACTACCTGCATGTGAGAACTGAGAAGAGGGAAGCGTCCAGGAAAATTCCAAGCCTTTTCTGGCTTGGAGACCTGGGCAAGGTAGGAAATGCAGAAAGTTAACTGGAGTTCATAAGTTCTGTCTAGGACATACTGAGTTAGAGGAACCTATAGCCTTCATTGTAATAATGTCCAGCAGGCAGCTGGACACATGGGTTTTGAACACTGAAAAGAAAAATCTGGTCAGACATGAGAAATTGTGTGCAGACCAAAAAGATAAGAGGGTGCTGTGGACTGACTGAATTGTGTCCCCCAGAGTTCATATATTAGAAGTGGAGACCTGGGCAAGGTAGGAAATGCAGAAAGTTAACTGGAGTTCATAAGTTCTGTCTAGGACATACTGAGTTAGAGGAACCTATAGCCTTCATTGTAATAATGTCCAGCAGGCAGCTGGACACATGGGTTTTGAACACTGAAAAGAAAAATCTGGTCAGACATGAGAAATTGTGTGCAGACCAAAAAGATAAGAGGGTGCTGTGGACTGACTGAATTGTGTCCCCCAGAGTTCATATATTAGAAGCTTAATCCCCACTGTAACTGTTGAGGGTGGGAAATCCTATTGTGGTAATTGAAAGGTGGGGCCTTGAAGAGGTGACTGGATTGTAGGACCATACCACAGTGAATGGATTAGTAACAGTGGTCAGGTGTGTGGTTCTAAGGGACTTAAAAGGGGAGCACATGAGTCTCTCTGCTCTGCCATTTTCTGTTACATGAGACCTCCCCACACTGCTGTAAAGCCACGGCCAAAGAAGACCCTCACCAGATGAGTTCCCTGGACTTTGGACTTCCTAGCCTCTGAAACTGTAAGCAATAAATTTCATGTGACATGAGTGGTCAAGTACTAAGGGAGGGAAAATGTCCTCGGGTAACTTCCCTACTCACACTCCATGAAATAGTGGTGTGGGTGGAATGTTCCAGTGAGAGAGTAAATAGAAAAAGCAGAAGCAGGCATCGTGTAGAAGCTTTCACTAAACAGAGAGGAGCAGAGAGGAACACCTAAGGGAGAGGGTGTTGGTTGTTTTTCCTTTTCTTGCTTTTAACCTGAGAGACTCAAGCAGGTTTACATGTTGTGTAGAAAGACCAGCATTTAAGGAGAAATTGAAGCAATAAACAAAGGGGTCAGAGTAATCGACGCCCCCGTGTTCCAGAAGAGGAAGGGGAATGACATCTACAGCAAAGGTGAAGGGGAAAGATGTATTTCCCTAAGCTATTTCAGGAGCAATTCTCCCAATAGATCGAGTTTCCTTTTATCAGACAATTCAGGAATGTGTCATCCCTGTAGAGACTCTAATGTAATTTCATGCAAATCTCGTTAGAACATTTTCTGAGTGATGTTGGTCTGCACCTTGAATTCACAGGCAGCAAGAACCAAATCTGAAAGTAAGCCAACCTTGTAACTCATTTTCACAGCACTGTCATTAAGTGTCCACAAAAAAATTGGTTTTGACTCCCATCTTCCACTCAACCTCACTGTCACTTTCCTTCCTTCCTAATATCCTACCTCTCCCAATAGCTTCCTGTTTCAACAGGAGAAACAAGTTTTGGTACTCAATACATTCAAAACTTACTTCACAAACATATGATGCCTATGCTGACTTATTCTTACTCTCGGAAACATTCATTTTTCATAAACGCACCAAAGTCTTTCACATCAAGTCAGTGGCCTGCTTAATTAAAGATCACCAATACTACATCCGCATTGTATGTTGCCAAAACTGATACCTGATTATCATTGAGGAGTTATCAGTTCTTATATACAAACTTACTGTCTTAAACATGTTTGGTTTATTTTCCAGTCAGTTTGGGATCTTCTCTAAATTAGAGCTTAGCAATTTGCCAAAAGAGTCAGGAACAGAGAATCATGTAGGACTCCAGTATCGTAAAATAACATCCTGGACACTATGTCATCATCTAACAAATTTCTCCTGCCACACTCTTCTATACGAATCTAAGATTTGTATTCCCTGTATTGTGTAAGTTTTATCTTATCTCTCTTTTGTAGCCAAGAGCCAGGGAACAGTGAGATAAGCCAGGGGCTGAAATGAGGGAAAACCCCCTAGGACAAATCCCACACACACCTGGGACAAACCACAAAGATCTCAGGACCTATATATAAGAATAAACTAGGATTTGCATGTAAGGATAAACTGGTTATAAAAAGTGTGGCAATTCAGCTCTTATGTGACACAATTGAGATATTTAATGGTGCTGTTATTTAAAGATTATATTTTGCTTTCTTTTATATACCCTCTAAACTAGCAAACACTTCTGATCTTTAAAGAATCTACACAAACATCAATTCTTAAAGGAAAATTTCTGACTCTTTAGTGCAGAAAATCCTGCTACAGAATGTACACAAAAATAATCCAGCTGATTGGCAAAATGAGGATAGCTGCATCAAACAGGAAATTCTAAAAACATAACTTGCTACAAAAGAAAAAAAAAAAAAAGCCAAGGGAACCACTATTAAATGATATACTTGGGGGTCACTAAAGGGAATTCTATTTCACCCTGAAAATAAATCTAGCGGAAAATCAAGACAGGCTAATTACCAACACGAGCCTATTTTTTCTTTTTAAGAAACATAAATAATTAGTAACCTACCGTCCGTCTGAGATTTACTGAGGAATATTGTGCTGGCCCGAGGATGGTCTGAAGGATTGAATTCCATGTTCAAATCTTTAAAGGAAAAAAAAAAAAAATTATATGAATAACTATCTGATAACTAAGGAGAGCCAAGAATTTCAATTTTCTCAACCATAAATTGCTAATACATTCAAGGATTCTGGAAACCTAAAATTACTGTATTAATCGATTCTTTTGGTTCAATGGAGAACACTTCTACTTAGATATCCGAAAAAGTCATAAACAAAAATTAGACACTTGGCTGGAGATCCATTAGCCTAAAACTCCATTTTCTTTTGAAAAAGTCTGCTCTGCACCCAAGATACTACAAAATAGCAGGACAGAGTTACCACATGCAATTAAGGAGAATTATGTGCTACAATAGACTCATCTAAATTCTACAGCTAAATAAGTGATATTTCCTTGTTAAAGGTGATTAAAAGAGGGTATCTGAACTGGTTAGGCTGAATCAGCATCTCCATACTCTGCTCAATTAAGATTGTTATTTTTTGAAAAGGCAAAACTTAACCCTTAGAGGAAAGGCTGCAAATCTGCCATTTGTGGGCCTAATGTGGGCCACCGATGTGTTTTGCTTGATCTATACTTTTTTCCCCTAATTTGAGCCCACATATAAAAGTCAAGAGATTTCAAACACATACCACAAAGAAAAAAAAACATCCCTATTTCTAGCTTCTCTTGAGAAACTGGATCATTTGGCAACACCAGGCCCCTTCAGATGAGAGGTAAGACGCTCCCCATCCCCACCCATCTCTGCTGCTCCTCACTTCTGACCCTCCCTACCCCAAAGGCACTTGGTTTTGCAATCCCTTCCTTAGAACCATCTCTAAGGGTGAGAGAGGCTTGTCAGTATGGTGCAAACAATTTAGAACCCCATCACAGAAGAGGTTTATCCAGTTTTTAAAAATTGGTTCCATAGCAAAATGGTTAGCAAAACAGAATTAGGTTCGAGAGGAAAGACAGAAGATCAAAATTACTAGAAAGTCAGAATGTTCTTCACATCAGCTTATGGCATCAGAATATAAACTATTTTGGGTTCAATTTTTTAAATAAATTTGCAAAGGAACCTAACCAACACCAATAAAAATAGACAGTGCCTATCCTTAGCTTTAATAGATAATCAAGTCAAAGATAAATGGAAGGAAAAACAGGGATGATCATATATATATGAGTACACTGGACGGAACTCTTATCCATACGGAGAGGTATCCTCAGCAAACCTCTGAAGCAGGGCAGATTTCTTCCCATATCAGCCAATGGCTTACTGGACTATAGTTCCTAATCTCTCACTTGATCAAACAAACACCTATTGAATCTTAAAAAGATGCTACTTTATCTAGACCTTCTTTTATGTAACTTCTTTTAAAGTTATACAGTAGTTTCACAGTTAAAGGCACTACGGGGTTTTGATGCAAGGAAAAAGATGGGCAAAAGAGACAATTTTTCAAACTTGCTTCAATTTGAACTCGATAAAGTTAGGCCAGAAATTTTCCGATAAAAATGACATTTTACAAGGGGGTTTCCTACTTAACTAGAATCTTGTTATAAAAAAGGATAAACAACAAAGTGCCACTAGATTTTTGGGGAACTTCTTCATATCAAAAATGAGGGCAAATATGTAATCCCAACCATGCTGGACACTGTTAATGTCCAAAAACCTTAACACATAGTCCCCATAGAATAGCATCGACTGAAACATAACGTGCATGCCATGACTGCATGCCAGCAAGGCAATGCCAAGAAATCAATCCTCTAGCCTCAGACACTGTCAGCGCCACGAATTCTTACTTTGTTCCCTTAACACCCAGCTCAGATGCATCTACCAGACCAGTTTTCTTTAAGACCCACCTTTATTATTAAAATATACCAGTAGGGGTTTGTAGAACACCACAAGTAGGAAAGTGTAAAGCTTTCCTGTTTGGAGCAGAAATAACACAAGACCGCCACTTCTTAGGGAATTGAGATCCTGCTTTTAAGTCTAAGAATGTCCCACAGGGCAATCCCTGACTACCTGGAGATTAGGATTCTGTGCTATAATGTTCACAAGGCCTTGAAATTCGATATCCCCTTAAGAATGAAGACATCACAGATTCTAAAAAAGGGCTTCCAATAATAGGGCATTTAGTACAGTAAATAGTACATCTATATGGTGAAATGTTATGCCACCATTAAAAAATCATGTGGGGAACATTTCATTGACATGGAAACACATATTTCATATGTCACTAGGTGAAGAAGGCAGTATAACATAATTTTAGGGCCGTTAATATGTACACATATAAGAAACATCAATAGAATATACACCAATATTTGGTTACCTATGAATAATGAAATTGAGAAATTTTTATTTCTTTTCTATGTTTTCTAAGTTTTCTGCACTGAGCTTTTTAAATTTTTATAATTAAAAAAAAAAAAAAAGAAAAGCCTTGTGAAAACTGATTTGAGCCACTATTACCCTCCAGGGTGGCTGAATGACTTCTTCAGCACATGCTGGTATTCCCAGCAGATGCGCCGGAGCTTTCCCCACTCCCTAAAGTCAGAGACTCACACATAGCCACCAAGATGAGTCTCCCCACCAGCACTGTCCACTTGCTGTAGAAACTTGTGACGAAAAATGATCAATTCAGAGAGACCCCAAAGCAGAGGTGCCCTTGTCTTCTGCCAGCAGCCACTGTGTCTCTTCACTTTTCCTGCTCTCAACAGGGCCAGAGCAAGAAAGAGCAAGATAACTTGCTTATTCTTCTATGGGGGAACCAAGCAGCAGGAGTTATGTTTCACGCTCCACGCTCTCCCTATGAAAGGTACATGTGACACGAGGAAAAGGCTGTCTTTATGACCAAGTCACAATTCTAGGTATGATCAGAATGCTCGCTGTGTCACAGGTGGTTTCCTGATGAGTGTCAGGCCAGGTGTCATTATCTACCCAGTTCAGTGACACAGAGCAAGTCATGCAGAGTTCAGAGGAGACTTCAAGATCAGTGTCTGACATGATATTCACAGAGGAGGCGAGTGAGGCTGGGAGAGGTTGTGTCCAGCTGGGTGATGACAGAGTTTTTCCCACTAGCCCCACTAGGCCAGACCTTGCCTCAGATCCTGAATGCCCTAGAAGGACTAAAGCCTGAAACAGGAGGGAGGCAAAGGCTAATGTGAAGGAAAAACCAGAAGCCCGTAAAAGCTGGGTTCACATAACAAACAATTTTTCTGAAGTTCTCCTTGTATTTAAGTTTTAGAATCTAGGTCCTGGATGAGATAACCAGGAAGTTTCCCAAATCAAGGGACCTTCGGCATCTGGACATAATGGTATACAGTGCTTCTGAGGAAAGCTTCTGAGGTCATCAGCTACTTTTTATTTGAAAATATGCTCAGAAGATTATACATGTTAGGGGACCAGATTTTCATGAGCTATCCTTTTTTATAAAAAAGCATTTAACAAAACATTGTTTTGTAATTTCTCCAATCCTAACTCAGATTTATATTCCATAACTGTAAAAAGCAAAGTAATAAAACACGATGTCGGGTGCAAGCTAACAGGCTCCCCTTATACAGGGGATGTCTAAAGGCCCCATTTCTCCGAGTACCATTAATGTGAAGGTGGGTCAATCACAAAACCTGGCTTACCTAGCACTGATTTAAACATGCAAAAACGCAGAGTACAAAGGTACTTGGAACTGCTAGGTGTGTCCTGTGATCCAAGTTTAAGAGACCAGCCCCAGATGTTGAAGAGAAATATGGTAATCACAATATGTTCTTTGGCACAGGAACTCTAACTTTTGGGGGAACAAAAAAATGGGGAAAGCCACTATTCTCATAAGCCAAGCAAAGTAAACCTGCTGTATCACTCAAACTTAACACTCTGAGGTCAAGCATGAAAGAATTGCTACTTCAGCCATAAAGAAAAAAAATCCCCTCACTGCAGAGTCAGGAAAAATGATACTCCAAATATTTACAACAGTTGAAACACATTTGGAAGAGTGCAGTTTCAGTTCAGCTCCATGATGTTTTTGATTGACAAGAATTAAAAAGAAGAAATTCATAAGATATTGAGTTTAAAACTAGAGATTGCAGATGACATAAACTTCACTGCTAAAGAATGCAACCCACTTTGCTGAAGTCGGTTCTAACTAAGAGCATACTACCTATTTTTAAAGTAGTAATTAAAACACTAATTGCTCACATAATCCTCCCTTAAGCCACCACCAGACCACACATTCCTCACCTCTCCCCAAGCCCCCTGGGAACCTCAGGCAGCCCCAGCCCTCCCCTCAGGCTCACCTTCCCAGAGCACAGAGAGCGCTGACTTTTCACACCTGCTCCCATTAAACTCTTGAAGTACCTCACATGCTAACTTAGGCAGAAGTAATGACATACCACTTAAATAGGTACCCCACTGGGTGTTAGCTGAGCAGAAACCACTGCCCTTCCTGAAAAGAGTAAGGCCCCACTGGAGTATTTCCATCCCTGGGAAAAGAGCAGCAGAGAGGAACTGGCTGGTGACATACAGAGAAGGCAAGTTAGCGCTGGCCAGCCGCTGGGAGGGGCACAGAGAAGGATGAGCCGTGGTTTCTCCTACACAGGCTTACAATTGAGTCAGGGAGACAAGACGAAGTACGGACACACTAGGACCAACCAGTGAGTAATGAAGAACGAAATATCTGACCAAATCCTATGAGACAGAGAATAGCGTGCTTAAAACAAGATAGCTCAAAGCTTTGAACTCTAAGAGTCAAAAATAAATACTGCCCCCCACCCCCACCCCAGCAAGCTATTCAGTTGAATTCAGTTAAATTGAACAAGCATGCATGAAATCCCTACTGTATGCCAGGTCTTGTGTTCAACCCTGTTGGTATCAAAAGACTGCTTTGGAATAGTAACCACCACATCTGTGTCATTACCCTTCCTATTATCTACGTGAACTATTTCATGGTCATAAGAACGCATTCTTGATTTTGAAAGGGCTATCGTCAATTAACGGTGAGACAAAACACATATTTAGCTGACTTTAAAATGCATATGTATCTCTATCACAAATTTACCTT